TGATTGCTTACAAGCTAAACTTCATCACGAGTCAATGTCAATTAAAGAAATAGGGGAAAACGGTCAGTTCTTTAATCCTGTTTTTCAGACTCTTCAACAGCATGTTTCCATGCTTCCATGAGGAATAAAACGTAGAACTGTCATGTTACATGGTGGTGTAATGCTTCTTGTGTTTTCGCAGATTAATATTAGTATTTAAGCAAGTTCAGAGAGTCGTTTTTTGTCACCTACTGGACATTTGGTTTTAATAACAGAACATAACTCGTGCAGTGTAGCATCACGATACTATTTGTTAGTAGAACTGTTAATTTCCATAATAATGTACAGTTGTGACCAGATTCAAGTACCAATACACTGAAATCTCTATTTGTATAGATATTCTTTATATTATGTGTACTTCTTGTGTCATCCTTTCATGTTTTCTATGTTGTTTCACAAAGGTCTTTAAAATCTCCTCTTCACCGGTTGATCCATCGCTTTACTATCTAGTTTTCTTTCAGAAGACAACACACACACACGTACAATATATTAATTGTGAAATCTCAAGACAGCATTGCTAACTGAATGGAACGCTGAATTAGCCATAACTAACAAAACAGCTTAGGCATGTAAAAATATCAACCTCTTGATAGTAGCATTCAGTATCAGTATCAACTCTTATTGCATGTGAACTTTACTTCCGTTTTGATAACAAAATAATTAAAATATGTATTACTCGTTAAGTCATATGATAAGAGGAATGTATTTCTCTTAAAAAATTCAGTCGTTTGGGAAATATTATTGACAAAATTGGTACTTTTACTAGTAGTTACCCTTCAGATATATTTAAGCCATGTTTTTTTTGTTTGTTTTTTTAAAGAAAAGTGCTAACCTGGAATTTGATCGACTGATAAAAACAGAATAGCTCCATGCTCCATCTACTCTCGACTTAGGAAACATGTAATTGGTCATGTTTACTACAGGGTTGAGCACAAGTTGACATTAGTTATAGAACCATTTGAAATCAAGGCGGTACTAGAAAGTACTGGAAATTGCGTAGTAATTTGGGACTCAATTTATGAAAATAATTATATTAAGAATATGTTATGTTAAAGAATGCTGATAAAGTTTCAGACTGATTGTTTTCTACAATTTAATATTGAGACAGAGTATAAACGATGAAAAATTGATAAATGTTAGGCCTTAAAATGACTACTTAAACAGAATTGTTGTTTGTTTTATTCAAAATATTAAAGGGGATTTTCAGATGTAGCAGTAATAACTGTGATAATTTTGTAGTTTTCATTCAAAATTGAAGAGAAAGAGAGACCACTTCTTACAATACAACCTTCACTGCCTGTGTTGGTTTCTGAGTACTACTGACTTTTTGAAGACGCTTTGATTTCTCCTGCCTTGCCACGGGACATTAGATTGAAGCTAGAGAGAAAAACAGTTAAGATATATACGGTTATTTCGTAAATCCATGGGAGAAGATGTTCTAATTTCAAACAAAGAAACATTATTTAGGCTATGACGAACCACTTGTCTCCTACCATACTTTAGAAAAAGTAGATCATTAAAGAATAGAGACCCAACAGATACAAACGCACCAACCCTGAGTATTTTACATCAAAAATAGGCAAAATTTATGAAATAAATGAATAACTAAGCATGAAAATGTTTTATACATGACAACTTTCTCCGACATTTTGCAAATAAGATATCCTAGTTTCACATCGGATACTCAGTAAACAGATGCATTCAAACTCTGTACGTGTATTCATCTAGATAGCTGTAGATGATGTAATTCTGAGACACATTTATCATCCTTATCATGCTTTTCAACCTTTTCGAAAATCCCTTATTGAATTAGTATGAGTACTAATGGTTAGGTCTACGAAATCCACAGAACGGTTAACTTAATGATGAATACAACCCGCCATTTTCATTAGCATCAACTGTGGTTTCTGGATTCACCAACATTATTACTATAGGGTTTAAAGTCGTCGACTTCCAGTTCAGTATTCTTCCAGTAAACTCTTTCCGTAAATATTTCTTCGTATAATCCAAGTACCTTTAAGGTATCGGCTCTAGCACAACCTCAACTTCACTTATGTTTTATCAGGATGGTTTCATCTATGTACATCACCACACTTTGTTCTAACAATGAAGGTAAATTTTCAATTTTCCACAAGGCAATATTTGTTCAATGCTACTACCACTGAACTGTTGACACAACAAATTTCTCAGTTTCAACAGTTTTAACTGTGGTAGCATGTTAATTTTTATTCCAATTAATCCAACATTCGATCCACCCTGGAATGCTTTGTTCTGAACAAACTTAACACCCTCAGGTCTTCTAAAGAAATCATTTGACTTGAATCGAGCAGATTAATGGGCTGTACACACGTGAAGAATGTGGTTGGTTGCTTTCAAGTCCACAAAGTGCTTTCACGTCTGTTCAGCGTCTATTAATTCACTTGTTCAATACAAAAACAAGGCATAAACTGAATTTAGAAGTCGAGGAATTCAGAAGACAAAAGAAAAGTGAAATAAGTACCAAGGGAATAAATGAAATCTAAAGAATACGAAACAGATATGCTTGATTTTTATCATTTTTTGTTTTTGCCTCAGGCGTTCATCATTTTGTGCATAAGCAGTTTTTCTTAGCGAGTAGAAGCTTGCCACCATTGAAACGCGAAATATGGTAATGTTCCCATAGCATTTGCATTATAGAGACTTATTTTTGACTAAGTGGTAATAATTTTCCGCAAAAACTGTTCCAGCATTACAGTTTAAAGTTGCTCATAAATAATCAGTGAAACAAAATACCACTGATCAACATCTGGCCCTGCAAAGACATAATTCGTTCCCTTAGCGTCTTAAAAGGAACATAGAGTCTCACACTCTTAATCCTTCAAGCTTCAGTAGCCTCAGTGTTATTTTTACAGGGTGAGGTTGCCAGCCTCTCTTCCGTCTTTTCCGGACTTACTACAGGCTAGGAGAGGTTTAGGAGTGAGTCGGCTGAGGACTGAACCCAGACTACGCACGTGGCTGGTAAGCATGCTACTCCTGAACTATAGATATTGTGGGAGCAAATTGCAAATCTCCCATTGTTTCTTGAAGAGATAGAGGGAGAAAGGGAGAAACCTCGTTAACTGTTTTGTGGTCACTCTCTTATTTTTGTCTGAATATAATTGTTTCAGTGGTTTTTTGATATGAAAAAAAGAGTGATGGAAAATACAATCTTCCCATAAGGTATCAAAATCCTTTTTTTGTAAACAGTACATTAGTTAGTTCTTTCTGTCAAATAATTTCATTTTAAGCAATACTGATGGGAAATGATGAGTTGGGCGTAAGTCTGAGTGTCACATAGAGGAGCTTGTGAGAAGAGAAGGATGTTAAAAATTATCTCCAATTATCGAGTCAGGTAAGGAGGACTGCAGAGAACAGAGTGAAATAGAGACGGGCTGCTGGAGTGCTTTGTGACAATTTGAACCTAAGTGTCTGATGAGACCTGGAGAGACCTTACGATTCTGTCAAGGTATTATTAACATTAAAATTTTATATTCACTTCTGCTTTGTCGGCTGTCAGTGTCAGTAAATGTCATATTTCTCATGCCACTACAAAAAGTACAATCATCACCTGTGGTGAGTTACTATTGTGCAATAAAGCCATCCGGAATACCGTAAGCTTCACAAACTGATATCAGAGTATCGTTTATACTTGACAAAAACATACAGGTTGCTATAGCATTGATACCGTTGAAACAAAAAAACAAAGTATGATTTGGTAATGGAATTTGACAATTTGACAAAATGATGCACTAATGTGGTGAAATACATATACCATTACACTAAAATCACCATTCTCTGTGTGTGCTTCTTTTGTCATCCTTTCATGTGTTCCAGTGTTTGTTCTCATGGATGTTTCACTTCTTCTCTTCACCATTTAATCCGTCGCTCCGGTATTCATTATCCTTCGAGAAGACATCATGCAATATATTACTTACAAAATCTTATCAGTAGTACTCAGCATACGGTTGCTTACTGGTTTTCTTGTCAACTAGGTTGAAAAGACTCACTGCGCGACTAGGTTTCAGTTCACTATAAGTAGACCTGAATTGAAACAAAGATACCTAGTTGTTTATTTCATCTACCATAGTACTGAACAAGCAGTTGTGTGTAACTGATTTCACTTCCGTGACAGTTGAATGAAACTTCACTGGCTGTGATATGATGAATACTCCACAGTCCCAGTTTGTGGCTCTTCAAATATACGCACCCATAATTCCTTCAGGGACTGAATCCAGGAACTTTTCTCTCTAATTGCCTGATGGGTATTTTCCACAATTTAAAACTGTATCATCAACGAACTTTTATTGGTCGGCCAGTTAAGTACCAAAATGACATCATGAAGAGATATGTCAGGAATTCTGCGGTAATTCAGCTATTTATTCTATGTTTTACATTTCAATGATTCTCTAAATGATACTATTTCATGACGAATCCACAATGAAATTAACCCGATTCCCTACAAAAAATATAATTCAAATATCAGTGTAAATTTCAGTGGTAGCTGCTAAATGGGTGGCCCAAAGGCGTACTGAGAAGTCGTGGTCGGCGGGGTCCACCATTTTACAGTTAAGTGGATGCCCATCGAAGACGCTGGTTGACGGTAGCGCAATATCACCAATCGACATAAACTAGAATTCCAGACCAAGTGTCTACTGAACGGTTAACGAACTTCGTTTGGCAACCTGAAGGTCCTGAGTTCGATCCATATAAGGTGGGGCCACGGGTGCTCGATGCTGAAGAGCCCCAAACTAGAGTGAAATAGCTGTGTAGCAAGTCTCTCTGCTGATTTTCAGTGATCTTTAACTAATGTACTCCCTGGTATATTATACCTAATTCGTAATATTACTGTTTGTCTGATTTATTTGTTGACTATATTTATTTCAAACTATCTCGTTTACATAATGTTCTGTCTCCTCTCTTTCTGGTTTTTCGTGTTTTTGTAGATATTTCCTATCCGTTCCCATCGAACTGTCTCTCTTCTTTTGTCATTGCTACTACTCTAATGAATGAATGAGCAGCGAATACGATCGCTAATCAGTCATTCAGTCGGCTAGTAGAAAAACAATCATTAATTGCTGCTCTCTGTTTGTTGTCTTTTGTTTTTTGATTCTGTACTAAATTATTGTTAACTGAATAACTGTATGTCACGTTTCTAATATATGTGTCTTTGTAGGTGTGTATCGCTGTGTGCATAGACCTGTGCGTAATTTTCTGTTATGCCTTAGCGACTACAATTTAACTATTTGTGTTGGTGTACGTGTATGTGAATGTATGTGTGTGTGTATGTTTATCTGACTTCATTTATTCATATGTTATTAGTATGTTTTTAACCATAAACAACATCAACACCCACTCACCTACTCACACACGTGAAGAAAATAACCAGCATTCTTGTCTTCTCTTTTTTTTACCGCATACCAGAAATCGTATTGAATTCAGTCAGTCATTCAGTGTATTTAAATAAATAAATATTATCATTATTATTGATTTTTGATGTAAATCGATTAAGTCATTGTGAATTAAACTATGCTTATGTAGCTTTAAAAATGTGTTATGTGGCTGTGTTCTCTGAGCTGGGTGATTTAAGTGTAAAGTGACAAAAACACTTCGTTCTATGCTAGGCAAACCGAAAGACCTACCTAACAACAGCAAAAGAAGACAAGATCAGCACCATCTACAAAAATAAATTTCATGAAGTGTGATGAGTATTATATTGGTCAGATCAGGAGTCCCCTTCGACTTTGAAATTAAAGATGATACTGAAGCAGAAGTTTCCCGAAAACGGCCGTCAAAACCTTTTAATAAAATCTACTTTGTTTCCAGTCTACGAATATTATCTGCCTGCAAGAAACTATTCGACCAGCACGTGAGAAAAAGTTGCCACATTGGGCAATATCACCATGCATACACGGGTTCGCTTGCTTATGTGAAGTTGAGTACATCGGCAGTAGTACATGTCCATGATCACTACTCAGATTTTGTAGGAAGAACAATGGTATTTTACCTTTAGATTGATAACAGAACATCTCCTCAACTCAGAACCTTCGACGTTTTATGCAAGATATGGTCAGATCTCTCAAGTCCAAGAAATCTAGGCCCACCAAAAGAATTATCGATCCCGAACGGAAATCCTTGTACTGAGTGGAATAATTTTAAAACCACATAAAAAGAGATTAAAGGAATCCAATCCTTTTGACTGTAGTAGAAATGTAATAGACATTTGGAATAAAAGTAGTTATCTAATAATGAAATTGAACAGTTTTCAGCTGGTTTAAGGTGATCCAATATAAGGTGGTCAGTGAGAAACATTACATACATACATACATTGGCTGGGTAATGACTCAAATGCCGTGTTAGCTGAAAATTCTGAGTTTGAACTGGTACGTAGTTGTGATGTTTTAAACTGCTCAATATTAACTAGAACTCAAACAACACAATTGTTTATTACCACGAAGCTTTAGAGAATTCTTAATTAATGAGAATGTAATTGGGAAAAACCAAGAAAACTCAGTCGCGACTTAGGAAACTAAGAGACGGATACTTATGTACAGTTTCCCAGACCAGCGAATTGACACAAGAGACCCAAATTAAATTCCAACGAAACCATAAAGACACTTCAACGTGAAATAACCTGCGGTACTATTCAACAATAATAATTTAAACATCAGAAATACAAAACTGTCCCGGCAATGTCATTTAGCAGCTGCATCGTGCAAAAATTTCTCAGGTATTAAAAATATGTATTGTACAACAAAATTAATTGGCCAAACACAACAATAAACCACCTGAGAATCAATAAGAATATTCCAAAACTTCTGGGATCGAAAATCTGCCTCCAAAAATCGAAGAGAACAAAATATTTTATATAAGACATTCTAAAGTCAAGCAGTCACTCCGTAACCTGCAACCTTGAATTCATTCAAGCAAAACAATAGTTGTAAAATAACACATTATCATCAAAAATGGGAAAAGTAGGAATCAACCGAAAACAAAGACAAATAGTAAGGATTAAGTCAAAAGGAGATGTACAGATGTTAGCTCAACGATGGTATACATACAGGTCAGGGGAAAAAGGGTAGTAATTTCAAAATTAGTTGAAACATCCAAGCAAATATCAACATTGTAAATCAATCCTTCAGACCATCATTTATTCTGCTACAGCTATCTCACATAGAATAACACTAAGTAAACTTAAATTATGCGTTTTTGTATGGATTCGGGTTAATTTCTGTGAGGATTTCGGCAAGAAATAAAATCAGAAATTCCTTGAAAATAATGGAACACTGGACAGCTGTTTCGTCCCAGTCTGAGGCTATTCATCAGTGCGCATGTACGACCTCAACATGTATCGAACCCGAAGCTTTCACGTTATGAAGTCAAGCTCACTGACTACTCGCCCACTTTAGTCGGAATTCAATAACCCGTGAATCCTAACTTCTATCAATTCGTGTAATAGCTCTACCACCAACCATTGCCTTCAATGTGCACACACTTCACATTGACATGGTGGACCACATTGACTACGACTTCTCAGTACTGCTTCAGAGCATCCATCCAGTAGGTGGCAACAAGTTAGAGGTAATATTTTAACCCAAGTGGTTGAATGGTCAGTGAGTTTGGTCTCCTAACACGAAGGTCTGGGAATCGATCCCTGTTGACGTCCTAGGTGCGCACTGAGGAAAAGTCACAAACTGGGAAGAAACAGCTATCCAGTGGTCAGTAGTTTTCAATTGTCTCCCTAAGTGATGTTAATTTCTGACGAAATCTACGCTAAACAAGTAAACTCTGTGATTAATTCAAGTGCAAAATAAAGTGGTTAGAGGTTCTCAGCTTGTGCGCTATGCGGATCAGAAATATAAGACCAAACACTGAGAAATGAAAATGATAAACACTTCGGAAGGATAGTATTTTTGCTTATCCGAATTCTAGTCGAAATATCCATTGTTCTAGGAGATATTACTGTAGAGATAAGCTAATCATATACAATATTTATTGATTTTTCCAATCGATCGATGGCCGTACACTTAGTTAGCTAGTATGAATTAATTAGCCTTCATTAAAACACACAGGTACGTAACCTTAGTCACAGATGTTTCATTCAAAATACGTGTGGTTGTAATTGTCTGTGAACTTAAAATGAATTCTTTAAATGAACACTATGTGAAAGAGAAAAACACGTTTCTCATCTCATAATAACAAGTATCATGTATTATTAATGAGCTCACATCAGTCTGAAGTAAAATTATGACACTTTATACCACTGACTGATTTAGATAAACAGTTGGATACAACTCACATCAACCATTGGTGTTTGCCACCCAGATTATGGAGTTGATCTAAACATTGAACTGTGTAAACTGAGAATATAACTGTTTGTTTTACTAGTTCACCCAGGTCCCCCGACAGAAACTGGAAGGTTTGAACTGACTCAGTTCTCTGAGCTGAGTCAAACCGGGTGAATCGCTGGCCAGTTCAACCGCAAATGGGCAAAACAGACGTTCAGTGTTTAGACAACTTCAATAATCTGTCTAGCAAGCAGTACTGGTTGATGTGAGTGGTATAAAACTACTCATCTCAATCAATCAGTAGTGTGCAGTATAATAACTTTATATTTGCTTACCTGATTGCTATTTATGGTGTCAAACATAACATACTGTAGTGATCTGAATAACTGTAGTTTCCAAAAGAAACTGCGGTTGAATTTCACCTCAAAGTGTATAAACTGCTTCTTGCGAATATGATTTGATGTAAGTTAGTGGTAATTCTCCTTTATGAGATCACTTACCTAAGAAATCAATAAAAACAGTGATGACACCAGTGTTACCACTACAAAGAAAGAGAAATATACGTACTGATGAACAGATTTTCAAAATGAGATAGTATGTATTCAAAAGGTTGTTCTCTATTTTTGACGGAAACAGTTGTTTATCAGTATTTTAGTCAGTTTGGCATGAACTACATAAAAGACAAACAAGATAGGAAGACGTAGAAAAGATTGTTATTAGATGAATGGTGGAGAGGATGGAGAACTGTTCATCTAGTGCAATAAAAGTTTACAAAAAGTGGTCAATTGGAAAAAAACAGGATTTAATGAATTCATGAATTTTCAGTAGAATTCCTCTTCATCCGAATACCAAATACACAGTGTTATATATATATATATATATACAATCAGAAATACATTGGGAGACATATGAGTGATCCGTAAGTAAACTGTAATCAATCAATCATGCAAAATGACAGATACCAATGGTTTACACGTCAAGAACAGATGGATAAGGGGAAAGGAGTATGAGAGATTAGAAATGAGATAATAATGGATTACTGCTCAGTTACATCACATAAATAAACAATTACTTATCAGAGAAAGAACTTGAAAATATTAGGAATTGCAAACTGAATAATAACAACAATAATAATAATGATAAAATGAGTTAGGATAAGGGTTCCGACAGAAGACAGTCTTAAATAAGTCAATAATGACAATAATAAAGGGTGGAATAAAATCCTAATAATCATAGTTAATGAGTAAAATATATTGCCATGGTAGATTCAAAGTGACTATTATTTCCCTCTGTACACACAGACGGGCTTTATAAACTCGAGTTACAAAAGCATCTTTTAGTTTTGCCTGCTGATAACAATGAATTGACAGAGTTAATATTATTTCCGTAGTCTGTAAGATGCTTTGCAATTGAACTTTCTGATACCCCTTATTCAGCTTATTTTTAACCACTTAGGCCATTGTTGCACTATGTCAGTAGACCACCACCTTTCTGTACAACCTATGCATTTGCTTCTGCAAACTCATTTGAATTGATTCAAGTAGTGAATAGTGTCAAAGATTACATTAGCTAATTTATTTTTATTTAGCAAGAAAGGATAACAGTTTATTTATCTACTGAGTTTGTATTACCGCATAGAATGCCTAGAATTATTGTGTAAACATATAAATCCTAGGATTTGTACAAACTGACAGCATAAGTTGTCTGTTGGACGGTACACTGCTCTCCAACCCTCTGCTACCGGAACTTCAAAAGCTTGGAGCCTTATTTTCCGTTTGGCATACAACAGATGTAAGAATAAACAGATGGGATCCGTCATACTGTCGCATCGATCCCTGAATAATGAGGTTGGATTTTCAAAACAGTTTTGAATCTGAAGAAAAACAATCATACCAATGATGTGGTAATGTTCACAACAACAAGCATCAGTTTTGGGTATACGCGGAGGTGAATATAAGTGAATAAAGACCATCAAAACAGTTAATGAGTAGAAGTTAGCAATACACTGTTGGTAAACAAGAAATATAA